TCTCCTTTATAATTTGTTTGTATTACAAATACAATCATAAATTTTCTCAATGTTAGAATTTGAAAGTATACTAATGCCATTAGGTATTGTCAAATTGTCAAATAAATTATGATACTTATAGAACAGATCTCACATTTTTGCTTTAAAATTTAAGGCAATTATAATTTTCTGCAGTGGATTTTGAGTAGCCCTTGTGCAAATGGTTGTCAAACTCCTATTCAAGCAAAACCAACAATGCTTCTAATTAATCTGATTCAGTCAAAGGCTTTGCTAGCATTTTAGAATAACAAAACATAATCGCTGGAGGATTTTATTGCAGGATAGGCACTACCTTGTTCCACATTTTAGTTTTGTAGTCATTAGAATAGATAGGGCAAAGAAACTTCAAATACTGGAAGGCTGGGAAAGATGCATAGTGAATGTAGCACATATCCATCGATCAATTTGAAACCAGTACATTTATCTAAACTGTATCATTAAACATATTCTATTTTCCAAGACAAACAAAATGTTCCTCCTCCTGACATCATTTTTGAGATTAGGAACTATAAAATGTACATTGGAGAGTTTTACTCAAATGACCCTATTAACATGCAATTCTTGTGTCAATATAGTCACATTGAGGCACAGTGTGCAATGTGACTGACAAGTGAACCTGCCTACCTAGCTGTTCTGATGGTGGGTTATCCCCAAAAATATTAACTTTACTTTCCTCTTTATCAAGGATGCTCTATTTGTTCCAGTATTTTTCGATTCTGTAATGAAGTGATCTTGCTGTATTTCTGTTTTATGTGACTCAGTCATGAGTGATTTAGTCTCCATGAGCTCATCTGTGGTACAATATATGCAAGGTTCATTGGGACTGAAAATGATCATCAGGGGTAAGACAAAACAAACTAAAGCAACTTTACAACGTATGATTTTCTCTTCTGCTGAAGTTAATCTGTTATTATTTGTGTTGTGCAACTTCAGTTGTCCTGTAACAATGTATCAAACATAACAGCTTGAGTGTTGTTTAGCAGGAATTCCTCACCATTAGGTATGCCCTGCCCAAGGCAGGTCCACACCACCCTGTCTGATATTTCATCCTGAGTCATTTTCTTGGATTGGGAACAGGAAACGAATCTATGCCATTGCCATTATTGTGAAGCACACACTAGACAAATAGCCATCTAAAGCAAACGGCCACCTGCTTTGAAGGAATTAGGACCTGAATAAATTTTGCACACTTTCAGCCAACTGTTTAACATTGGCATAACTAGTACCAAGGCCCAGGCCATTCCAAATTCAAAATAGGGTTCTCTAAGAAGTATTGGATCATAATATAAATTCTTAAGTAATATTCAGTACTGAAATAATTCTAACTTCTGCTTTGCATGACTATGCAGAAGCCAGATGTAATACGCTGGTCAGTATATTTCTGATTTGTATTGAGTACGCAGTTCAACCAGAAAAGCCAAGTGGTCATTCATCTCAGCCTACTCTAGAAGGTCTCCAGGATGACAGATGCCAGATTTCAACCATTTCAATTCACTCCATGTGATATTCAGAAATGATTGAATCCACTGGATACTGCAAAGGCTGTGGACTCTGACAACATCCTGCAATAGTACTAAAGACTTGCACTCTAGAACTTATCGCACCCACAGTGAAGTTGTTGCAGTACAGCTACAACATTGGTAGCCACCTGACAATGTGGGAAATTACCCAGGTATGTCTTGTTCACAAAAAACAGGTCAAATCCAATGTGTGCAATTACCACTATATCCTTCTATTTTCAAGGTTCAGCAGAGTGATGGAAGGAGTGGTCACTAGCGCTATTAAGTGGCACTCTCATGCTCATGTTGGGCTCTGTCAAGGTCACTCAGCTCCTAACCTTATGGCAGGTGGCAGGCTTAGTTCAAACATGGACAAAAGAACTTAACTCTGGAGAAGAGGTGAGAGTGACTGCTCTTGACATCAAGGCATTTGTTGAAGTACAATGATAAAGAGCTGTAGCAAAACTGATGTCAAAGGGGCAAACTCTCCACTGGTTGGAGTCATACCTAACATGAAAAAAGCTGGTTATAGTTGTTGGAAGTCAACCATCTCAGCCCCAAGTTCATCAGGTTGGAGTCATCAGGCTCAACCATCCTCAGCTGCTTCAGCTTTAATTATCAGATGCACTTTACTGGAGGATGAGGTGCCTGTTTAGGACCCAGACAATAGGCATGGCACACTTATGTTTCTAGAGTTGTTGTCCAACACTTTGTTTCAGCAGTTTTAAGAATCAGACACTTCTGCACGTTATGGAGTTGCCAAGCTAACTCTTCCCCCTTCTCTACAATTCTTCACATGAAAAAGAATGATTGGGTACAATCAAAATAGTCAGATATTTTATTCCAAAATATAATAGAATGAAGAAGGGTTGTATGCATCATCAGACCTGTCTCTTGAGGTTTTTTTATTCATTAACGGGATGAAGATGTCGCTGGCGAGGCAGCATTTATTGTCATAGAATCCCTACAGTGTGGAAACAGGCCCTTCAGCCCAACAAGTCCACACTGACCCTCACAGCGTCCCATCCAGACCCATTCCGCTATAACCCACCTAATCTACACATCCCTGAACACTACGGGCAATTTAGCATGGCCAATTCACCTAACCTGCACATCGTTGGACTGTGGGAGGAAACTGGAGCACCCGGAGGAAACCCAAGCAGACACTGGGAGAATGTGCAAACTCCATACAGACAGTTGCCCGAAGGTGGAATCGAACCCGGGTCCCTGGTGCTGTGAGGCAGCAGTGCTAACCACTGAGCCACCGTATCGCCCGTGTCCATCCCTAATTGCCCAGGGGCAGTTCAGAGTCAACCACATTGCTGTGGGTCTGGAGTCACATGTAGGTTAGACCAGGTAAGGATGGTAGTTTCCTCCCTTAAAGGGCATTAGTGAACCAGTTGAGCTTTTCCAACAATCAATTCATGATCATCATTACGCTATTAATTCCAGATATTTTATTCAATTCAAATTCCACCATCTGCCGTGGCAGGATTCAAAACCCGGGTCTCCAGAATGTTATCCGGGTCTCTGGATTAAAAGTCCAGCGATAATACCACCAGGCCATCACCTCTCCCGAGTAATATTATCCATCAAGGTTAAATATGTACAATCAGTTGCCACCACATGTAATGTTTCCTCCATTGTTCAAGGGTGGAGTGGTTACATAATGCAACTTCAGTGCAACATTAGGTAGCAAACACTTTCTAAACTATTAAATTAATATCATTTTGGGAATTGTAACTGTCACCTGGATCAGCTTTTTCAATAGAAAAGCTTGGAAAATATATCTTTATGGGAGTCTAAAATGAAACTAAGAAAAATTGAAATTCCAATCGGAGATTGGATTCTCCTTATTTGGCCAGAGCAACCAAAAGTCCCAATGAACACTGTACTGGATAGCAAGCCTAATTCATTATATGTTGATGATAAGTACATGTGGAAGTAAAACATTTGAAATTACAAGGAAGAGCTTACTGTGTTACTATAGATGTTAAACTATGTGTGTTCAAAGCAGACATTTCATTGAACTCACATCATTAAATTATTGCAAAAAATTAATCTGTCTTTGTCTAATGGCCATTCTGATATCGTCTTGTCCCAAACCAGAGCAGATACCAATGTAAGTAATTGTAATATTTTTATGATAATTTAATCTTCATACTCTAGGAAGGAAAGGAAAATTCACTTTGGATTATAAATGGCACCAACATTTGGTGGCTCAGTAGGTAGCATTTCGCCTCATATCACAAGGTTCTAGGGTCAAGTTCTGCTCTAAGGTTAAAAAAAAATTGATATTAATATCCAGTGCAATACTGCAATTAAAGGCACTGATGTAAAAGATCTCATACAACTCTTTCAAAGAAGAATAGGAGACTCATCTCTGGTGTACTGGTCAATATTTATCCATCATTTAAGATCAGCACGTACAGGTTATCACACTGCTATTTGTGAGAGTTTGCTGAGAACATATTGGTGGCCATGAATCCTACATCAGACCAAATGTTACAGTTCAAAAGTATTTCATTGACTGAGAAGTGCTTTGAGATGTCTGCAGAGTTCTGAGGAAGGGTCACTGGATCCAAAAGGTTAACTGTGATTTTTACTTCACAGACGCTGCCAGATCTGCTGAGCTTTTCTAGCAACTTTGTTTTAGTTCCTGATTTACAGCATCCGCAGTTTTTTCAGTTTTTGTTGAGATGTCTGGTGTTCGTGCAAAGCACTGTATAATTCTTTCTTCCTTTATAAATTGAGTTACTCCTGAATGGCTGTTAACCCTTTGTAACATCAGGCAAAAATTGCATCATTTAGGATAGAAGTGCTATTATATTGAGAAGCGTTTTAGCATAGCTTTACAATTGAAAGACAAAGTTTGCAGCATTTTCAGCAGGATTAGTTTAAAAGTTGCAGCACCTTTTCAAAATCTTGTATTGTGATTATTTTAAGGGAAATAAATCAGGACATGGGTGTTTTATATTAGTCTCACTCAGCTCATTTAAATATTTTCTTGGTGCTTCTGATAGGCATTTCTGTTGGCAGTGTCAGGGTGAAATCAGCATGCTGCTGGATTCCATTGGCACACTTCACATTACTTTCAATCCACACTTGGGTTTACAAAGGTGAACTAAATGATGTGTTTTTCTCTAGTTGTACAGAAGTATTTTCACCAACAGTACACAATTCCTAAATTCACTATTGAAATTAAACAGATTTAAATTAATGAATTATTAGTTCAACAATCTAAAACATTGCAAATAGATTAATGGAGCAAACATTGTAGTTTTTGATTAATCCCTATTGTAATAAAGTATGCAAGAAACTTCACACCAGAAAACAATTTATAAACTGCATTTCTCAGAAAAGTGAACACGTTGTGCAAAATAGATTAATTACTTAACAGAAATTGTTTGAAGTTGTATTATGTACACTATTCTAATGGTCAAATGGCCTAAAATTCTGTACCTGAGTGTGCTTGGAAACCCAGTGTCGAAGTACGTTCAAAACACGGTTTGTAGCTGCCCTACGTATTATAAATTCTTTGTCACACATGCGCTCTGAGTTGTTAAATCCTATGAAAAAGGGAAAAAAGGACAGTTTTAGCATAACAAGTGTTTTTTATTTATCATATCACAATAGAAACACTCCCTCAACAATGTTTAGATTCAGTGTCAGCTTCTGATTAGCAGGCAGAAGTACTAGGTCGAAGAAACAAGTGGCTTTTTGTACAGTAACAAAAGAATTTCTCTGTAAAGTCTCTCAAATTGACTATCAATTCAAAGTGAACTTTGAGAAGAAATGTTGCGAGATATTCAATTTGCTCATCCCCAAATATTCCTGACATATTGGTCCAGAAATATCTAAAAATATAAAGTGTCTAATTCACACACTCATAACTGGTGGAAGACAAAAAACAACAAGAAATCTGTGGTGAAGAAAAACAGTGCCATAAATTCCAATTCACCATAAATTATTGGACATCTTGTGCATTCTGATCTGCTATTGACCCCCAACAAATAAAAAAAAATCAGTAAGCATTTCAGTTACAATTAATTATGTTATGAAATTGCTGAATTTGCATAGTAAAGCTGAATTTATCTTACTACTGCCATGAGGGTGGGTAATTCCTGTTATACGAATCCTGGTAATATCACAATTCATTGTCCTGATGTGAAGTTCAATGTTGGACACCCAGTCAGAGTCCAAGTGAAACAATACAGTCTCACTCGATTAGACAGGTTATCGTTTCTTGAGAATTTTTTAAAAAACCTATTCAAAAATGTTATGACACATATCTGGGGCAGGCAGGACATGAACTCGAACTTCCTGGCCCAGAGATAGGGGCACCTTAAAATTTACCAACTGTCACAGAGGGATTTGAACCCATGCCTCCCAAGTTTTAGTCTGGGGCTGTGGATTGCTAGTCCAGTGACATTACCATGATGCTTTTGTCTACCCCAAGTACATAGGAATTTTAAGATTTCTTTTGATTGCACTAGAAATAATTTAATGTCTTCTTGCCAGCCTGTTAGTATCCAAAGGCAGTAAATATCAAGATACAAAGGTACTTTGACATTCACATATGCAAATTACACTGTTTTTGTTTGAAAAGTGATTTGGGATGGAGATTATATAAGAACATCATATACCTACCCTGCCACATGTGTATTATTGATTCTCAAGGACCAAAACAAAACTGAATTCCAAAATCCTCTACTTCTGCTTGATCCTTATTTATTTATTTCTCCTCTCTGTGCTTTCCTCTGTCTTCTAATCCACCCCCTTTTGTTCCAGTATTTATTTCTCATTCTGTCTGCAGACTACAATTCATTCTATTTACTTCTCTGTAGTTTCCTGTTTCTTTCTCTATCCTTTTTTTGCGTGAGGGGCAGTAGGAGTAGAATATAAATGTGGTTAGTTCATTATGAAATAGTTTATGGGAAGAATAACAGATGTGTCGGTGGGGAAGAGGTGTAGTATAAGGGGGTAATAGCTGTTATGCTAACAGCTAGAGTGCATCATCAGTGACGTTCGAAGATGCCCTGTCACATGGACCTAGCATGTGAGGGATGAAGGTTCTAATGGAGCCCCATTAAACCAGGTCTCTGTAAATGGTGTAAATGGTTAATAAATGCTCCTTTGTTTGCATTAATTTGTTTCCAGTCCTCATCTATCAAAAGCATCCAATCCGGAGCCAGGAAATTAGGATAAGAACTACCTACAACTTCACAAGTGAAATCCTCTGGGTGGCAGTGGAAGAAAATGGTGAAAGATTGCATGACTGAGGATGTCTTTTTGAAGGAAACAACATGTTTCTTTACTTAGCCGCAGTCGCATCTTTGCATTATCTTAAGGAACGAAAAGATGTTATGAGGCTCTACAGCTACAGTTGTAGTTCTTCTGTAGATGTTGAAGGTGGCAAATCATGTACTCTGCTAAAGCATTTCTTCTGTCAAATTAGGATAATAGCAAGCTCCAAATGGTGTAGACAAACTTACAGCTGAAACTACTACTCCTATGTCTCAGGGACTTGGAAACAGTAAGGACTGCAGATGCTGGAAGCTAGAGCCAATAAATGTGGAGCTGGAAAAGTACAGCAGGTCAGACAGCATCCGAGGAGCAGGAAAGTCAACAGTTCAGACCGAAACCCTTTGTCCAGCTAAAATTTAATTGAGGTGAATAGGGGCTCACCCATTGGTTGGAGAGCCATGACAGAGACCACCTTTCAGGAACGGCCATTGTATTAAAGACCACTCAGGCACTTAAATGGTCAGCAATGAATCTACTCTGAGATCAAGGATCTCCAGGTGCAAATACCCAATGGCTAGCAGCCAGTCAGAGGTTGCCTGCACTCTCTCCAGCAGAATGGTGGTAGTTTTTGGGGGTCAGGATGTGACTTACTTGCTTCAGGATTCCTAGCTTCTGACCTCCTCTATAGCCACTGTACTTATATGGCATGTCCTGTTCAGTTTCTGGTCAGTTGTAAACCCTAGGACGTTGGTTGTAGTGAGGGATTCAGTGATGGCAATGCCATTGAATGTCAAAGGGCAGTGATTAGAATGTGTCTTATTACTGATGGTCATTGCCTGGCATTTATGTGGCATGAACAGTACTTGCCATTTTCACTGTTATTATTTGCTATTTTCACTGAAAATATCATTTTTTATGCCCACATTAGTGTATTGTAGTTGTTTAACTATTAGGATTATGCTATTACTTTCCTGTCTGCTGTTCATCATGTGAAATTTTAAGGAAGGTAAAATGCATGCTGCATATAACAATTCAAAACCAAAAACAAAAATGCTCGAGAGGACCTCCTTTTGTGCAATAGAGCCTAACTGAGCAGTTTAAAATGAAATTGCAAACTGTTATGTTTTGTTCCACGAATCAGTTATACTACCTCATTGTTTGTTCTTTCATGGGAAAAAAACACTTCCATTTCTTTCAAGTTCACCAAACTCCTAGATTGAAATTTGTCCCCTGTTTTTTGAAGCTGAAAATAAAGGCTGAGATCCTCAGATTTGCTCCTATTCTTTCACTTCGAAGTCACCAGGCCACCAACAAAAACACAAGACTATGGACAGGTGGTCTCAATTTTGTCAAAGTCTAGTGCTGCTGAACATGAGGAGCTGGCTCCATTTCTCCCTAAACCCAGAGGATCATCCTCTCAGTCATAACAAAGCTTAGGATGTTCATATAAATGGCACAATATCCCATGATCATCTCCTATCTCGCAAGCAGCTGAACTAAACAGGAGCTGGAAATTCTGGAAAAGCAATAATTGAAGCAGAAAATGAGGTGCAAAGGTGACAAGAGCTCCACGAATAACTGAAAAACAACATACAATCTGTACTCCATCATTTGTGCCAGGGGTAAACATCTTCACATGTTCAGGATTAATGCTTTAGGAATTCAAAAGGCCTTCTTGTCTAATGCAGTAACTCGCAAGGTGATCAGTTGCTTTGATGAAGGTGAACCTTTCCCAAGACGCACCATCAGATGAAAGAATCCCACTGCAGACTGCCAAAAAATGCAGATATGTCTGTTTCCAATATAATAGACCAAGATGATGATCTGATCTGTCATGGCACAACTGATAATGTTTAATAAAGAATTTGGGAAGTATGAGCAATCAGTGATGTGTATTAATGAATTTATTGCAGACACAGGCAAATCAATATGAAAAAAAAACATTACGTTTGATAATCCATAACAATTTACTAAATAAATCCATGCATAGATTGTTGGATATTTCACTGGCAAGGGTATGGTGATATTATGTTGCCTTGTTATTCTTATTCTTAACGAAAGCAGACTGAAGTAATTCTGTAATATCTTCCACAAGATCGATTTGTAACAGGGATATTGAGATATGATTGACTTCACTTTTTACAAATTTGTTTGTAAGCAATTTGGACTAGAAACACTATTGCTCTGGTCAGTCAATGTGCATTTCTCAACTGTGCAGCTAAGATTTCCCAGCTATATTCTCAGATCTATGTTCTATAGTGTCCCAAAGCTATGGTCATTATTGCTTATTCATGGATTTTCTTGATCCCCAATGCTGTTACATTTCACAATGTTCCTCTGGGGTCAGCTTTCCGTGTCGAAGGATGCCAATTTCTCTATTTTATCATGCCCCAAATATGCAAACAAGTACTCGACTGAAAGTGATGGGAAATTTTCTGCCTGGTGACATTGTTCTTGATGGCTGAACCTCCATAAATTAGAAGATGGAAACTGCATGGGTAACAATCCCCCCAGTCATAGCTGAAAATGTACTCCATGCAGATTCAGTTCATACTGCTCACACACTCAATTCACTCTCGATCTCCTTTTATGTAGAAGCCCTTCTAAGAATATATGCAACATGTAATGAAGGTATATGGAAGACCCAATTCACTTTCCAATATTTGGTGAAGGTCTTGTCCTGGAGGCTTTTTTTGCTAGCATTGTTACATACTGTATCAAAGAAAAGCTGTAAGTAGTCTCAATAAAAAGGAATAGAAGAAAATATTCCAAAATTCATTTGGGCTTCTTTTTTCAAGTGTTTAATATATTTTCCTCATGTTTTTATGTAGCAAAAGCAACAGTTTCTTAATCATATCATAGAGAAAATTACAGTTCAGAGACTCTTTGCAAGAGTACTGCAAAATAGTAAGTTTAACATAATGTAGTTTAATAGCTGAACACATGGCTGAGACAACACTGCTTGATGAGAGAACCCATTTTGCAGATGAAGCATTAAAACAAGACTTGGCTGAATCCATGCATACCACACAGCACAATTTATTCTTTGGCATCCAAATAGCACCCAAAAAGAAATGGTGTCGTGCAACCAAATTCTCTACAGTCTTGACCTATTATTAATTCAAAAAATGCAGACAGTGAAAGGCATTGGCTGAAGATAGAGTCCAGTATACAGGTCCTGACAATAAATTATATAGCTGATTTGTCTTACAATGCATTCTACATGAAGCTCTTTGGAGATATGTGAATGTGTGTCCTGTGGGTTTACATGGTTAGCAATGAATGAAACTTGAGGTTAATTTTAACTCTATCTGCCTGACAG